AGTAGAACTCAGTCTCCAGAAATGATTCCATGAAGTAAAAATCATGAAGGCTTTGAATCATAGTGAACGTAGTGAAATTATTTGAAGGGATAAAGACTGAGTAAATACCTTATCTTCTCATGGGGCATACCAGTGGACAAGAGGTATTTGAGTATCTGCTGGCCTAGGGAGTAGGAAAGAAAGAGGCCTGAGCCAAATGCCACCAGCTAGTATCTACTGTGCAGTACTGCCCCTGGAAGTTTATTAATAGAGACTTAAAGTCAGAAAACCTGCTCTTGGATGCTTTCATGAACATCAAGATTGCAGACTTTGCAGCAAGAAATTCACCTTTGACAATAAGCTGAGCACCTTCTGTGTCAGTCCTCTTATGCTTCCTCAGAAATCTTCCAGAGCCAAATGTAAGATGCACCCCTGGGAAATAAATATGTGTTGCTTGGGAGTTATCATATATACACTGGTTAGCAGTTCCCTGCATTTTGATGAACAGAATTGGGAGAAGCTGCAAGAGCCAGTAGTGAACAGAAGATACCATACTCCATTTTACATGTCCATAGGGTCTTAAAACCTCAAGAAATTCCTCAGTCTCAATCTCAGCAAGAGAGCCTAACTGTGCCAGGGTCAGAGGTCTCCATGGCTTCTCTTTCCTTGGCAGTCCCCCAGGCCCAGCCCCACTGCACCAGGAATCCAAGTCACCGCCATGTGGCACAGCCAGGCCTCTAGGCTGTGACCTGCACAGAGAAAATGTGGGGGTGCTGCAGTCTCTGGAATGGTCCAATCACCTCCTCTTCTACCCCCAGCATCAGCAGCAGTGATAGAGGCCCATATGCAAGCAACATCTTCATGGGTATTTCCAAAGGAAACTTTGTCCATGCTTGGCAGCTGGGATAGGTGCATGACCAGCAGGATTCACCCTGTGTGACCCCAGCTTCTCTCCCTGGCAACAACCATGGCCAGCAAGGGACCATTGGGAGCTGCTTCAAGTTTAGATACAGAAATATGTGTTTCGGGTTTGCCAGAAGAAACCTAAATGAACCTGAAAGCACAGATGAATTGGAGATGATCTAAACTCATGTAGTGGGCAGCCGAGACTAATGAAAGGAAGTGGGGAGGAAGGAAAAGGGGAAGGAAGGAAGGATAGAAGTTAGGAAGTTGAAAGGAAAGGTGGATGATGGATGGATGGATGGATTTGCAGAGGCTAGCCCTGCTCACCACACCTTCCATGGAATATGGAGATCACCGTGTCATGGGGTGCAAGGAGATGATGAGGGAGATTGGCCTGTGTAAGCTGAAACAAGAACAGGTGCGGCTGGGCATGTGTAGCTGGCAGGGCCGAGACGACCTCTGGCAGGGGAAGACAGAGGTGTGCAAACTACCCCGGAGCTCTCTCAAGCCAGCTCAGTTTAAGTGAGTATTGGTATTGCTACAACCTTCACAAGCATTGCCTCCAAAATAACCAAGAACCTAAGCTTTATAAGGCTTCCAGGAGTGGCCTCAAGGCAAGGGGAGGGGCTGGCTGGCCCTAGTACCCTGCTGGCCGCTCTATCCCCACCTGGGCAAATTTCAGAGACTAAACTGGTATGTTCACCCTGGGGCACTTCCGCCCCCCCTTCCCCCTCCAGTCTCCCGTCTCCCTCTTCTGTTTTGTCCTCAAGGGGAGATGGTTCACAGAGAAAAAAGGGTCTCCTATTTCCTTAGAAGAAAGGAGGCACAGAGATAAGATAATGTCACAGCATCTTGGTTTCTACCACTTCACCATTGGCTCACACAGCTGCATTCCATTGAAGAGCCTTTCGCATGGAAGTATGTATGGGATGAAGACCATGTCAGTCCTCTGAAGATGAATTCTGAACTTATATTTTAATTCAAGATGTAAAACCAGAATATGCAAGGCTTTTGAGTAGCCCTTTGCGTATCTAAAGAATTCCAGCATGCTCTGGTCGCGACAGAATCATCCATTTTTCTCTTTCTCTTTTAAAAACACCTTTGGACCTTGTGTTAGAGACCACAAAATCTCTTTGGTCTTTTTCTGCCTCTCACACAAGAAGCCAATAAACTCTGAGAAGCCAGGTGCATGAAATATTCCATCTTCCATTTCATTCTAGAAGGCTCTTGTGTTCCTGGATGAATTTTTAACCCCATTCACTACTTTTGATAATTACTACTTGAGGGTAAGGTGTTGTAAAAGAAGGAATTGCTCCCATGAAATGGAGTTATGAGAGATTTTGTCTTTGCTTCCAGTTATGTTCCCTTCTGCCATGAGGGTTAAGGGCCACCAAAGTGCAATGATACGTCACAGGGCAACAGTTACTTTCCTGGATCATAATTTGTCCCAGCTTGCATAGCAGTTTGCTATTCCCTTCTGTCTACTCTTTTTAAAAATGTAGAAGGAGCCACTTGGAAATGTGGAATCATTTCTATAGCTAAAGGCATCTAAGATGATAGAGCTCTGTTACCAGAAGGATTTGCTTTTGAATGTCATTCTAACATCAGCTCCCTACACAGAGCCATGAGTTTCCCATTTCCATTTTACCAAGTTTTCTTGGGTGAACTTTTGATGTTTAGCTAAATTTTCTGTTCTTATTATAAAAGATACAAACTTGGCAAAGTGCCATTGCTCAAGGTGGGTTTTTTGTTTGTTTTAGTTTTTTTTTTAAAGTAGGCTTCACACCCAGCATGGAGCCCGGGGGGCGGGGCTTCAACTCATGACTGAGATTATGAGCTGAGATTAAGGGTCCAATGCTTAACTGACTGAGCCATCCAGGTGTCCCGTATTTTTGAGATATTTAAAATCTATGATCATTTTTATAAATGTCATCTCTATTTCAACTCCTGAACTATACCATTCATTCCATAACCTATCTTTCTGTACCATAGTTCTTTCTGTATTATGATACACCTGCATTTCGTTGTTGTTGTTAAATGTTTCACTAACCAGCCACCAAAATGGAGCTGATTAAGTGGAAGCTTGTTTTGCACTGAGGAGGGAAATCATCGGGGTAAATGGTACTACCCCAGGGACTTGTGGTGGATAGGAAGACCCAGATCCTGAAAAGGCACAATTGCTGTTGGCATCATGTCTGTATCAGGTCATGAAATTTAAAGATGCTTGTTCTTCGGTGTGGAATTGGGTTGCAGAAATCTTCAGACTGAGCAGCATCATTTACAGATGGCCTCCCGCCAAAAGACCTCCCATTTTTATTCTTCTTCAAGAGGCTAAAAACATCTAAAATGGTGTTCTGTCTAAAGCACTTGGTAGAAAAGACAATTTCTTTTTGGCTTTCCTGGTACTTAAGACTACATCATATTACATGTGTATGGCCCTCTGCCCTAGGCTGCAAAGTCATCAAGCTGTCACTAATGCATGAGAGAGTGAAAAGAGAAAAGAACTAGGAAATGTGAAACTTGACTTCTGGTCCTAATTTTCCAAATTTGTGACTTCCGACAAATCTGTTATAATATAGGCCTGATGTTAGTTGTGAAGATTGAATGAAAATAAACAAAACTCTACATCAAGGGCTTAGTACAATAAGTAAGTAGGTGCTTAATAAATGCAATCTATCTTAGTGTTGATTATATTTCACATCTGCCTTGCAGCTCCGTGTGGCTGTGTGACTCAGTTCTGCCCCATGGGATGTGGTCAGAATGATGTGGGCTATTTATGGGTTGTGCTATAAAAGGATGGAAACTGTCCGCTCTGGTCCCTTTCCTCTATCCTGCCTCTTGGAATGTGGACATGGTAGCAAGTCCTCTTAGACCATGTAGAGAAGGGCAGTATGCTAGGGATGTCAGATAAGGTGACTTGATGGAGCAGATTCTTCACAGCAGCTCTGGACCATTCATGGCTAGACTCTTATAAGACAGAGAAATAAATATCTAGCTTAGTTTAGAAATCTATTATATACTACTGAATCTATTTCTATCTGATAAACATTAGTTTAACTAGCACAGTATTTGGTTTGTCAGTATAAAAATAGTACTAATTATTCGTTTATGTGAACCATAGTATCTTTTACATGAAGTATAGTAATACATATGCATATTTTAAATATAAGTCATTATTTAGTTTGCATATGATACTAAACACACTTTCTGTGTCCACTGTCATCCTATAGCTTGTTATTTATATATTAACACTCACATACACACATCATACAGTTATTACAAACATATGCATCAAAATGTAAAATAGCCTATATATAGTCTTACCTCTATTTAATGCCATACAATGCCCATTTAAGACCATTGAAGTGTGCAGTTAAATTACTACAAATTATAAACATCATTTGAAATATTTATGACAGGAAACTGGTGTTTGAAAACTTCATTAGGATCAGAGATTCGTTTTAACCACATTTATATGAAGCCATTTTCCAACAGTCTAACTTCTTTTTGACCACATAAGGCATCTTACCAATTTCTTAACCCATAGTTTATAAACCCAGACCATCTTGAATGAAAAAAGATCAGGAATCCTTGAGAAAGTACACTGCAATGTCACCACAAAAGGAAGACAGAGAGAGATGTATCAGAAGGGGAAGTCAGAAAGATTCAAAGCATAAGGAGATAATCAGCCATTGCTGGGTTTGAAGGTGAAGAAGGTCATGAGCCAGAGAATGCAGGTGGCTACTAGAAGCCGAGAATGAGCCCTGGATGAAAGCCAGTGAAGAAATGGGGACCTCAGTCCAACAAATCTATGGAACTAAAATCTGCCAACAACCAGATTGATCCTTGAAACAACATCATGATTTTAGCCTGGGGAGACCCTTAGAATTCTAACCTATAGTTTGTGAGATAATAAATGACATTGTTTTAAACCTCTAAATATGTGGTATTTTGTTACATCACCCGGAGGAAAACGATGCTGCCACCCAGAACATTTTTGTGGTTCACTGGTTGTGGGCTTGAGAAGAGTTGAGGTCAGGTGATACATGGAATTTTGGCTCAAGACCATGTCACAATGGGCCTATCAGATGTGAAAACACAGCCTTCCCATTATTCATCCTGTTTTCTAAGTATATTACTGGATTAGACATACTTATCAATTTCCAAAATGGTGTGAAGACTGCCATAGAAGAAGAGTCAAATGGTAAATAGTAGAATGCTAGTTCCCTACCACAGTATAAGCCATAGAAATACTGTATCCCTAAGAAATCAGAGGTTAGTTCTATGAAAAACTTGGAAGATGTAGGTATGGTTATCCTTATTACAGGTTCACTTATGGTACCTATTGTACTTGGGCCCTGGAGAATAAGGGTTCTGAATGTCAGCTTAATAAAGTGATGACTCCATTGAAGATGTCATTTTTTTACTAGAGCAAATCACAACCTCTGGTACTTGACAGGGCGCTATTGATCTGGAAAATACATCCCCCACCCCTCACTTCAGTAATTGGATCTTAAAGAGTTGGCTTTTACCATGTAGAGATGGCAGTACCCCTTTAGGGTTGAATAGGATCTGTTAGCATGACTCCCAGATATAATCATCACTCTAATTTCTTAGCTCTCGTTTCAGGAGAGCGTTTAAACCAGGGAGGCCAGGGGTGATAAATGAACCCTTAATAATGGACTCTCTGATTGAACTATACTATTATATTTTATATTGTATAGCATCTAGATTGATGAAGTCAACCTGCCTTATATGATGCTGCCTCTGGCACAGAGCCAGATGAGCCTGTGTGAAGAACTTTTCCAGGTTTAAATATATGACATTGGGCTGGAAGGGGAGCATTTGAGCTTCCCGAAAGTTTGGTATAACTTTCAGTACGATGTTTCACCTGCACTTGTTCCCTTTTCAGGAGAACATGAAAATTCATACGAAAATCTGTTAAAGGATAACGTTGCTGATCTTCGCAATATTCTGAATCCTACATTCTGATTTGCGGTAGGTATTCTGATTCCAGTAACTTCCTTCTAGAGTAAGATAAGTACACCTTACTTAGATAAGCAAACTTTATTTGATATACCCATGCTTGTGTCTGCTTCTGCCTGAAATGAGTACTGGTAGTTGTTAATATGGTGGTTTCATAGCTCAACATGCATGTCTCTTCATGAAAGCTCACCAGGCTACTGCTCGTGCTAAGTGCTTAGATGTCGAGCAGCAGCACGCTGGCAGAACTGTCTCCACCCCTTACTTGCTCCCCCACCTCTGCCCTGTGAAACATGCAATGCATACTATAAAGAACTGGCAACCAACTGATGTCAGGTTGAGTATAGAGTGGATGCCTTCTATCATGGACAGGGAAGCTCTCTGTCCTTAATGGAATACACACTTGGATGTAGATATGTCTTTCCTGACCATCATACTTCTGAAAGTTTTCTCCCATCAGATACATCCATGCAGGCCTTAGATTCAGAAGTGGGCGCTCTGAAGAGACGGCTATATTTGGAAGAAGTGATCTGGTGCTAGGTGCTAGATCTGGTGCTCACTGCTCGGATCTTCCCTTTAAGGTTAAAGGAGTCATCTTGAAGTTGCCAGGATGTTGCTACTGAGAGCTGTCAGCTGAGTCTGTTTCTAGGAATTGCTCTTGAAGGGTAGCTCTTCCCCCAGAGGCAGCTTGTGTGGAGTGACTGGTCCATTCTAGGGATCGAAACTCTCGGTCTAAATTTAGGACAACTAAATGCTCAGAGCTGTCTAAGTCACTGAGGCCTCCGTTACAATTTTATTACAGTTCAATTTATCTTTCTACCTAATGTTACTTCCCTCACTAATTCTTACAGGCATTGTTCCTAAGAGTAGTCCCAATAAATATACTGCACAGGAATCCCTGCCTCAGAGCCTGTTTCCCCAATGCCCTGACCCAGGCCTCTGGTTAGTATTGTGTACAGTGTTTAGGAGGGGAAGCGGTGTGTTGGAATGTCTAACATCTAATCCCAGGCACTTGCTGGGATTTAATATTCGTCTTTATTTTATTCCGAATGTGTACACGAGGTGATCTGGATCAGAGACAGATTTTGTATTTGTTTCTTTATAACTAATAAGCATGTGATTCCTCCTCATCTGAATTCTTACCCCTGAGGTGATGTGATGAAAGCCAGGTAGGGAAACCTCTTACATATGTAGTGGACATTGCCCTGGTGAGGGACAGGGGAAAATGGGTTCCCTCCTTATACACAGGACAGCTGCCTTGCCTCTCCTCCCCTCAAAGGAAGAAGAAAAATCTCTGTTCTGTGGAGATGGGATGGAAAGGATCCTGGGTTCTCACTCGAGCCTTTTGGAATAGACATCCATGTCTCCAGGAGCAATATAGGCCCCCTGTATGTAGCTCTCTGGCTTTTTATGACCTACGGATGTTTCCAAGGGCCTGGGACTCATTTTCTTCCGAAATGTAAACACATACCTCTAGAATTAGGTAAATCTCTCTGGAATTCTCTAAGCATCTTACCCTAGGATCCCAAGTTTTCAGCAAAATTCATTCAGAAAGCCCAGACAGTACAGAAACACAAAACTATTTTCTCTACATCCCACTGCCTCACCGTTGCTGATTAGAAGCATTGGTGTTTTCATTAGAGAAACTTTTGTGATGTGGTTGGACTGTGTGTCTCAGGCTGCCTTTCTGAGAATCCTGGGGATTCTATGAACCACTTAATATTCTGTAAAAAATCTTTTTCTGTTTAAACTCACTAAAGTAGATTCTTTTGCATTTACAACTAAGATCCCCAGCTGCTAAAGATTAAATTTATATAATGTTATAAAACATGCAGATAAAACTATATATTCTTAAGGAAGCACACCTATTTAGTAAAATATAAAAACATGTTGAGGAATAATAATTATCAAATTCGAGATTACCTCGTACTTACTTCAGAGGTTGGGGAAAGGAAGAATTTTGATTGGTAAAGAGCACACAGGACCATAACCATATTGGCAATGGCTTATTTATCATGACTGAAAGGTACAAGGAGAGTCACTGTTTTATGATGTATATACATGTAGGTATATATACATAATATGTGTATGTATATATATATGACATTGCATAAAAAGTGTAAAAATACCTACAGAAAATCTCTTAGTGCTCACTTACCCTGCTACAACAGAGCTTCCCAAATAGTCTAGCTCCAAGAAAAATATTAATTTATTCCTCCCTCACATAAGAATCTTTAGAGAAACAATCCAGGTTTTGGGAGTAGCTCTGCTCCATATTGTCATTCAGTGACTCAAATCCCTTCCTCCTTTATTACTCCATCTTCCCCCCTAGAGCATTATCCTCATTTGCATGGTAAAAACTGGGTCACAGGTGTGTGTGTGCCCAGCTCATAGAAAGGGAGCAAGGATGTGCAAGGTTAAAACAAGGCCAAGACCAGGAAGTGGCTCACATTATCTCTACTAACTTCCTGGTAGAGAGAACTGGTATCTATGGTCAAACCAGATTACAGGCACTTCCTAGCCAGACGAGGTGCCCAGCTACAACGTTCTCGCTGTGAAAGAAAGGAGGAATGCATTTTGATGAAAAACTAGCAGTCTTTTCCAAAGGGACTTTAGGAAAGCTGTGTACAAAAAATACAATTTAATAAGACCTAAGTGTAATTTTCTTTCCTGTCACAAATCTACATATATTTATCGGTTTATCATTTAATCTTACCTCAGAGGTGAAATTCTGCATCTAAGACAGAACAACTCCAGAGAATATGCCGTGTCTGGCTCTTAGTGGGTTTAAGGACTTCATGTGAGTAATAGTCTACTTAAGAGGAAAAGGATTAAGAGCTTTCATAAGTCTCCTCATTGGATCTCTTGCCATTATTGACCAAAGCTCTCCAGGAGCTTCTGCACTTCTCCATCCTCTGCACAAATGCCTTCTCTGCTCTGTTTGTCTTGGTTTTCTTTTTCTTTTTCTTTTGTTTTGTTTGTTTGTTTGGCTTGGTTTTGAATTCACCTTTCAATTACATGTTCTCACTTGTCTTCTCATAGCAAAGATTGAGGAGAAAATGATTTCCGTTGTATTTGTTAGAACTCGTGATCTTCTCCAAAGTAGGGAAAGGTTACTGTGGCAATAGTATGTCTGAATTGTTCCCTCCATCTAACTAATCCGGATTCCTGTCCCTGTTTACATGAAGGTAAGGGTTTGTGGAAGCAGAGTTGCAGCAGAATTAGTTTGTGCAGCACAGATTTTCTCTTTCAATATTTGTGGCCATCCTTCTGAGTATTAAAACCATTTTTGAATAAAACAGTTTTTAAGTAGAAAAATATGGTATTTTCACATCTTTTCTCTTTTTAGAGATAAAAAAACTAGGGGGGAAAAAAGAGATCATAGTGATAGAGGCATACTCCTCCCCTCAACCCCATCCTACAAATAGGTTGCGGCTTAAATTGGAATCATAATTTCAGCAATATTGCTGAGGGCAGAGATTCCACACATTCACCATTGCCTCCACCCCCAAGCACACTTCCTTCCATACCTACCTATGCTAAAAGTTGCTAATCAGCACTTTTCCTGCTGAACCAAGCTGTAGCCATAACTCATTCTCAACAAAGTGTTTTAAGTAGGTGATGCAATTTGGATTTGGTA